TGAATCCACTTTTCAAGTGGAACTGTTGGGTTATGGTGTAATCTGTGAGAACCCTGGGGGGAACATCACTGATTAGTATGGTTTGCATGTTCTCATGCCACGAATTTTGATATAGGAGGTCATTCTCCTATTTTGGCCTTGGTATCGGTTATCGATCATGGCCCTGATCCTCAATCATTTAGATCGTGATCGGTCGGTTCTGTACCAGCCAAGGATGACATCTTGGTCTGGTCTTCGGGGGATGCTATCAGGTCTGTCTCTGATAGCATCCTTGGTGGTTCTCCTTAGATTATCGATCTTCAACCTGGATTGAACAAGGCTTGTCTTGTATTGATTCTTGTATCATCCACACTCCTTGGGTGATTTAGATATCGAAGACCCTTGCAATCGCTGCGCTGGGTTGAGTGAGGTGATCCCTTGGGAATGTATTCCTTCATTGGGGGTCCTGGTTGGTGCTTCATCTATGGCAGAGGTTGGTCTCTCTTCCTTGGTAGGTTGTGCATGGGCACCACTATCTGCGAAGGTCACTGATTAGTAACTGTTGACTGTTCTCAGTCATCGATCTTTTAACGAGGTGGCTCTTGTCCTTCGAGGTCACATACCATCCCAACCCTCGTGTAGGTGGTATTGACCATGCTTCATCATAAATATGAGCTGTTCTTGAACAGCCAATTTTTATGAGGTTTACTCCTCGATTTGGGAATCTGGATAGATTCCCGGTATATTGGTTGTGTGGCTACCATAGCCTCGTGTTTGCCGATGAAAGGCTTTTATAGCCTTGCATGTCCTGACGAAAGGGGAATAAATACGCGTAACCATTGTTTTTAAAGGTTTTCTCCTTCCCTATGTTTCTGGATAGAAGGGATTTACTATCTGTAACGATTCATCCAACATATCTTGCCACGGAGTTCCCTAGTCGAGGGGCTTCTCCTTGGTGGTAAATTTGGTTGGAGTCCTCATTGAATACGGTTGTGTGGCTTCCGCAGCCTCGCATCTCCCAACAAAAGGGATTGGCAGTAGTACCTGTACGGGCAGGGTCCAACAAGTCTGGTTTGGGTGGTTAACAGTCACAAACAAAGTGTCAGTTACTGTTGGGGGTTTTCATCGCAATCATCCTTTGAGTGTCGCTGATTTCAAATAGAGACATAGTTCTTTGAAGCAGTCGGCTCAAGGGGAGTACCAGCTCCCCGAGGACTTACTTCTTAGAGACTCCTCCTGTTCGGTCATAGCTGTTGAAGAAGTCCTTCAAGGGGAGAACCAGCTCCCCGAGGACTTACTTCTTTGTTGCTCGAATGCTGGCTTGAAGAAGGGCTTTGTGGTTCTCCCAGGCAATTATTATGTCATATAATTCCTGGGTATGCTTCTCGTAATGGCCTATGTCCTTTGGCATTCCAGATGCCAGTGGAGACATGGCTATGGGGATAGGAGTAGTGGGCATCCTCGGACTCTGGGTTGTCGCCCAAGTTACGTTAGGGCTTCGTTCCAGGTTCCCGAGGGTGTTCCCACTGTGGGGTGCGGTTGTATGGCTTTCGCAGCCTCGTATTTCCCAGCGAAAGGGATTGGCAGTTCCCATAGATTGGGGATCCAATAACTCTGGTTAATTAATTGGAGGCCGATGTGGGGCGTCCGGTTATAATGTAGGGGTTGACTGTTCTCAGTCAGCGATAATTGATTTTTTGTGAAGGTTTTGTCCTTCCCCTATTGATCGGGATGAAAGGGATTTATCATCCTTTAACTTGGTTATCCCGGAAGGTTCCTCGACGTTTAACGATAATTCGTTTTTTTTTTTTTTTGTCGCAATGGAGTTTTCTGGTTTAACCGTTTGATTTCTTCGAAGGTTTTCTCCTCCTCTATGAGTTGTAACTATTGTTTTTAAAGGTTTTCTTCCTTCCCTATGTTTCTGAACGAAAGGGATTTATCATTCATTGTTTGAGTCAATGGCTCCTCGTTTTTGGCCTCTGCATCAATTTGATCGTGGCCCTGATTGTCGATCCTTTGATCAGGATTGATTAGTCAATTTGTGATTTTTGGGAGTGTAGTTAACGAAGTGACATCTTGAAGTTTTGACTATGGCACATGCTAAGGTTGTTTATTCACACTTTGAGCTCTAATCTGGTGCTGATATTCAGCGACTCAGATGTGAGGAGTGGGTCGCCAACCAATCTTTTAGCAGGGCTCTTTAGTCAGGGAACTTGGTGTCATTTATTGGTTTGCTACGTTCCAAAGCTTGTTGGGGTTAGGAGTGCAGGGGATTGGGATGATTGATCCCAAATCCTTCGGTACGGCACCTATACAGCAGTGGTATGATCCATTCAAGGTAGTTATTATGACAAATAACTCCCTCTTTGAGTACTATTCGTGCCAACCGATGATGGTGGGGTATAGACCACTTCATACGTGAATTCTGATTTTCACGTTTTGCGGGTCCACCAGTCAATCGGTCAGGATAGGATTTTTGTGGATTTTCTCTAACGGCAGGTTGTTTAGGCTGTGCATTAATCGCCTAAATTTCCTGTCCATCAAGGGTATATCCACTGTAAATGGGTTTTGGCGGCCTTTAATTTACGGCGCATGGCCCTTCGTGTCCACCTAGGCATATCAGGTGCATTTGGTCTCTCTCATCGGGGAGGTTTCATGGGTGAGTCGCCTCTTCTCTTTACCGGCTGTTTTAACAGTCACGAGCAGAGTGTCGGTTACTGTTTTTAACAGGGTTTATAGAGTCTGAGCGTTACTCTTATGCTTCATGAGTTCCTCCTCTTGGATGAGTTTGACTAGAACTGCTTGAGTCCGAAGGGTACTCCTCCAATGAGTACTCGAGGTTTCCCTCTTTCGGCATTGGGGACTTCCCCCTGTCGCTGTTCGCTGCAGGTCTTGTGGCCCATTGTGCTTCTGCAGTTACTTAGCTTCCTGCCTGTTCGCTTGCGCTACTAAGGTCTTTTCCACTCGGGGATGGCCCGCACAGTCCGGGTTTTTAAGAGTCCCATAAACTCTTTTGGTAACTGAAATTAGTGGGGAGTCTCAGAAAATGAGCACCAACTGGATGTCGAGTTGGTGTTCATTTTCCGGTACTTCTCGTCGTCAGGTATTCCAGCGATAGTTACCATTTTCTTGACTTGGTTACCTCGGGGGGAGAATCCAGCTCCCCGAGGGTTTACTACCCAGAGACTCCTTGTCCTTGTCTCTGCCTCGAGCAGCATAGCTTTTGCCCTGCGAGGTCTTTATTCTTGAGGGGTCCTTACCCCAGTCCTTTACCCTGATGGGTAGACCGGTAACCTGTCATGGACACACACATGTTGGCTCGTCAAAGGGTTTTGGATTCCTCTGATTCCTCGCCTCAGCTGCTTTTCCAACGTGAGCCGGGGCTACAACGGCGGCCCAGGTTGTCGACCGATCTTCACCGGGGTGACTGGGCACAGTCTGATCCTGATGCAGGGGGCTCGTCGGCTCTCCCGAAACTTTTCCCATGTCAGGCAATTTCTTCTCCCCCACTGGGAGCTTGATCCGAGTGGGGGTGTCAGTCCTGCTTCTGGGGATAATGGAGGTTACTGCCAAACCTTCATCCAGTAGCTCTTTTATGCTGCAGGCTCCCATTATCCCTGCAGCATGGCCCTCCGCTTTTCCAAGGGGTTCCCTGCCATCACAGAGGGGCCTACTTGTTCTTGATCCACCGCCACCAGCAGCAGCGGTTCGCTTGCTCGTTTCTGGAGTTGTGCATGAGTCGCACTTTTCTGAGAGTCTGGCCCTGGTTCAGCCTTCGTTTTGACCTCTCGTGTCGTCAGCGCCCCTGCCAGGGGGCATGTCCTGACGGTTGGGGTTCATTGCCAATTTGGCAGCAGGGGAAATCCCTCATACCCCGTGTCGTCCAGTGGGATTGGAAGTAGTTGTTTCATTTGGTGGGGTCCTCTTTTTGTGTTCTAACGTGTTGCTTCCTTCCAGATTGGCTGGGTTAGCATATGAGAGGCGTCCCAATGTATATGATTTCATTTCCATCCCCTGCTGGATGTGCCACAGTCAGCTTCTTATGAAGTGTGACTCGGTAGAAGAGGGGTCGGGCCCATAGAAGTATGATTGGATCTATTGGGCCATCAAACGGATCATCAGACGAGGGTAATGATGATGCAGTGTGATCGGTGGGATTAAGCGGGTCATGAATGATGCGAATAATCTTGTTTAGATCCCCACTGCTATTCCAGATTTGTCCAATTGAGGTTGTCCATAATGATGTTTTGTGGGTTCGGTTGGTGGACTTCACAGTGAAGGTTTAGTGGGGGAGTCATCTCTTTTTTGACATTATGGCGGATGACGTTGAGGTGTCGCTCCTACGCTTCACTGATTCCTTTACTTGGGCACGTCGACCAGAGTTCCCTTTGTAGTGGTGTACTGCCTCTTCTCCGTTCGTGGAGATTCCAACTCGCATGGATGGGTTTCTGTCGAGTCGACCAGATTGGTCATAGCTCTTGACTGTCAACCTTTCGAGGTTGATCAGTCCTGCAGTCTGGGAATCCAGCATCCCCTATGGCGGAGGTCGGTCTCTCCATCTTGGTAGGTTGGCTGGGATTTCCAGTTCCTTCATGGACCTTTGATCAATTTGATCAGGGTCCTGATCATCGATCCTTTGGATCAATTGATCAATCGTCTCTTGATTGGATTTGTCTCTTTGGATGCACAACATATCCATAGCGACGGTGTCAGGATTCGTTTGAATCCTCGGAGTTCTTTTGTTTTTAAAGGTTGTCTCCTTCCCTGTATAACCGCAACAAAAGGGATTTATTGTCTGTATTGGTACCTACAAACATAATTTCTGAGTACAAATTTTTTGTAGTAGGGTTTTACCTGAAAGAAAATTGAGTCCTGTTGTACAAGGGCAATTTGCCTGGTCCGTCGTCGACTCCTTTCTTTTTGCTGATATTGCACTAGTCCTGGTCGACCTAGGCCGACTTGCCTAGTCTTTTGTCGACGCCTCCCCCTCAGCATTTGTTGTTGAGGGGTCTTGCTCTGCTTCAAGCAGAGCGCCATTGGGACCTGTCAGATGAGCATTTGTTATCCCGTCTAGTATGTCCATGGAATCCACAGCGGAGACATTGCTCCTCTATGGACCCCTTTTGCTGTTGCCATGCGAAGTGGCTCTTCCATCCTTCAGCATTCTTGACGAACCACTCCTTTTGCAGATCACATCTGCGATTCTTCCATACATGTCCAGTGTGTCCACACCGGAAACATCGTCTTTCTCGTTTGAGATGATCCTTCCCCGTTTCTTCATTTGCTACTTCAGGGTGTGACGCGTCTCTGTGTTGGGAAAGAGAGGGGACTCTTTTTCCTAGCTCGGGGTCCAGCGACGTGGTCCAAAACACCTCAGTTGGTAGGTGTGGTTTGGTCCAGTCTCCCCCAGGTTCCTTGGTGTTGAAGATGTCTTCAGTGCTGAAGTTCAGCACTAAAGACGCGGATGGTCTCGTCCTCATCAGAGGAGGTGTCAGTGGGGGTATCACTATCTTCACTTTCTTCTTCTTCTTCCGGGATAGTTCGGTATTCCCTTCCCAGGAATACGGGGGTGGAAAGTGAGTCCCATAGATTCTCGTTGATGGCGGTTCGAGCCATGGGATTGGGCCATATGGCCTCGTACACGGTGTCTGGCCAGGGGGATTCCCAGCCGTCCCTGGCAACTGAGTGCCAGGTGTCATTAGCGGTTGAGTCGGAGTGCATGGGGGGTAGGTCCCAGGATCCCTCTTCAGGGGTGATCCAGGAATCCACTGGAAAGAGCGATCCCCAATCCAGTATCCCTTTTTCCTCGGCCACTCCTCTTTCTTTTCTGGCCAATTGATGGATTCCGTGTGCGAGTTGTAGAGTGACTTGGTGATACCATTGATATACCCGGCTACAGAGGCAAGCGGATCTCTTTGAGGCGACTTCGGATTCGAGCCGGATGACTTCTGCCTCATAGGAGGAGCCGGTGTCTGGGCTCCAATGGGAGACGTCTCCCTTGGGGTATGAGTCTGATAAGTGATCTCCTGACCCAGTGTGGACTCCCCATGCCTCTCTTGGAGTTCCGGTGGAGGAGTAAATTCCCCTGTTGAGCTCTGAGGCATGGAGCATTGGTCCGGCCTTCCTGAATGACTCTGGAGATTCATCTCTTCGATGTCCTCCTGCGTCGGTTTTTCCGACTGTGGTTCGTCCACCTTCTCATTCCTTTCCCCGGGCAGGGAGGAAAGGGGTAACGATTCCTTCAAAGGTGGTTCTTCGCCGCTCTGTTCCTTTTGTTGCACGTCCCTTGCCGCCATTGCTTCCACTACCCTTTTCCAGAGTTCGTTCCTCGATGAGTCGGTTGTACTCGTCGGTGTAGAACTGTTGGACGTCGGAGGCGATGGGGGTATCAGGATCATCCCAGGATCCTCCGACATTCTCCCAGTATCCGACTGCGAATTGGGGACTTCCAGGGTATTGGGCCTGGAGGTTGTCCCTAGTGTTGGGGCGAATGGGAGTTGATCCATTTCGTGGTTGTGGATGGGATCGAGTGCTGCGGTACAAGGGGTGCCTTACCAGGGATAGTAAGGTTTCTAGGGTGGAAGTACGGCTTGTAATAGAGCCTATTAGATTCATACAGTCACCATCATTGAACGATGAGGAGAGTATGAAATATTTCTGTAGGGGTGAGCAACCCCGAGGACTCGTCGTATAACGACAAGGGTTCCTTGTTTGAATGCTCCGGATTTGATGGTGTAGTGAGGGTCAGTGCTTTCTGTGGGTGTAGCTTTGTAGAAGTGTTGTTGCTGACAAGCTTGTGACAGCAATCAAGCAAGACAATACGGTCACCGTCGTTTGACAATGATGAGGGTATTAATACAAGCTTCGGCTAATTGTAACGCACTAACTTGGATTGAACAACGTTTGCCTCTAAACTGTCACTCACGTTCGATGATTCAGTTGTGAAGAGGGCGTTGCAATCGCTAGGTAAGGTACGATAGTCCTTAGGCACGAAACAGGGAGTTTCTGCGTGAAAAGTTAGGAGTGTATAACTTTAGCCGAAGCTGGGGTGTAAGACCACAGCAAGGCTTGTTTAAATACATTGTGGTATTTACTAGTATGTACCGCTCCTGTGTCTTGGTGCGTGCTGTCCCAACGCAGCGCTGTCTTCTAAGTCCTCTGTATCGTATGGTGCTTGATATAGGAGAAGCCCTCCTGTGAGTAAGAAGACTAGCGTCCATAGGGCGTGGTCTCCTGAGGAGTGTACGTGGCGGCTTGTCCATCCTAGGGTGTGATCACAGACGACCTAAAGAAGCATGACTGGGTGAAGAAGGATCCGGCCCATAGAGTGTGATCGGTCTATGGGCCATTAAACGGATCATGCGTGTGAGCGGTGGATCCAGGAACCTATCAGGGAAGACTGATGGTTGTGTTGTGGCAATGCTCCGATGATGCGGTGTGAGTGTGATGATGCTAGAAGCGCTCCTGCGAGTAAGAAGGTCAGCGCACGTATGGTGCTGCCTTCTACGAGGTCTGGTAGCAGAGCCCATGACAGAGTCCCAGTGATATGGTCTGTGGTATGAGGTAATGCCGTGTGGGCGATGTGACCGAGTGGGTCATGAATGATGCAGATCAGGTATGAGGAGTGATGACAAGAGTCGAATGATGAGTTGCCGACTTGCCACGATAAGATACCATGATAAGATAAGATAAGCAAAAAATAGGGGTGAATTCATGACAGCTATAGCTGAGTCCTGTTAATGTTCCTGTGCTTCTTATGATACCACTAGTTATCATCTCCATACATTGTATAGTTTCAGTGTCAACACATCCATTTAACCCACTCACTCACTATATCTCAGTATGTATGTATAATGTGTCAGATTGCAAAATTACATGCATAAACAGGCTGCAGGCACAACAATATGATGCCCTGACATAGAATATAACTTATGGCATAAGAAGCAATAGGATTTTAAAAGTCACAGCACTGTACCAGATGGGCAGGCTTGATGAAAAGGCCAAACTCTAGACCCAATGCAATATGCTCTAACCTACAAGCACACTTGTGGGAGTAAAATAGAATATTGGGATTGCATGGACATTGATAACTACATAGTGTGCTCACTAGCTATGATGTGCCATTGAAGAGACTCTGTGCACACCAAGCTAGAAATGCACTAGTATCTAATTGGTCAATGAGCATCCGACTAACTGGCCAGGTGTACCAAGCAAATTGCTCTTTCAGGCACAAGTCATGTTGGGAAATGAGTGCCACATGTGTGAGCACTAAAGGGTAATAGTACTGAAGGTGCATGGGGAGCACATATGTGGCAGCAAGATTAGATGGATGGAGCTCAGATATCAATCATGGCTTGGAGAAGTACAGGATTTTTCTGAATGTAAATCCTGAAGGCATCAGAAGATCACCAACCACAAGCTTGTATTAGGTATGGCAAGACGCCTTACTTGGCAAGATCAGTTGCACTGTCTGCTCACATTGATTGCCCTGCTATGCTTGTGTTTGGGAAAATCTGCCTGAGCCGTTTCATAAACCAGGAGCATGTTGGAATGAAACCTAACATAGTGACCCACAGTGCTGGGTGAACTAGGTGCTGACAGTCCTGTCTTGTGAGATATTGATGGAAGATGAGAGCAGGATTGATTGTTGGAACATTGCTGGTAGGAATAATCACTTTGTTTCCTTTGAAGGTGGTGTTGGCCTTGTGAGTCGGGAGGAAAAAAACATAACCTGATGGCAACCACTCAACAGATGTTCTATGCATGATCTTCCTCCAGTTGCATAATTTCTTGGCATTGGGCATGCTCAGTTCAGCAAGGTGAAGGAGGCCATTAAAGCCCATGGCTAGGATGGCTAGGAAAAGCATGTCGTTATAGTCTGAGGAATCCCCAAGTTTTTTAATGGCTTGGCATATGTTATCTCATGAGAGAGGAGCTTTCCATTTGACTTGGGAACTCCTCAGGCATTTGGAGCCCTTAAGCATATTACTGACTATTCGAGAATTGCAGATTTCTCAAATGTCAGGAAAGAAACCTTCAAGTCTGTTGCAGATTCCTGAGAGGTAGGAGCCCACAGAATCAGGCTTGATGTGGGCAGACATGAAGATGACATAGTAGCTGAGCATATCCTCCATGGGCTTAACTGGAAAGTCGTGAATTTTGCAGAAGGTGATGTAAGAGTTTAGAGCAGAGTTGTATGAGCCAAGTGTATATGTGTCAATTGTGGCACTGAGGGTGAGGCACCATTTGTGATGAAGCTTCTCCAGGGTCTAAGGTTCATGAGCCTTCTGTCTGGACCCTGAGGTTATGTCTATCAACATTCTGATGCTCCCAGCATGTCACAAGGGGGTTCAAAAGGTAAAATGATGAGATCTGGGACAAGGTTCTGGACTCTAGAGAACTCTGAACATGACAAAGTATCTGCAACATTGTTCTCCACACCTGGGATGTGCAACACATGCAGATCGATGCTGTGAGAGATCATCACATCAATAGCAGATTTGAGTATCAAATTGTATGTGAGAGTGGCTTTTAGGGAGTTGAAGATGTCTACAGTGTTGGTGTTATCTGTCAGGATGGTAACCCTCTTCCTCAGCTCTGCTGACAGTGTTTTTGCCACCCATTGGACTGCAGCACAGATGCACAATGCTTCAAAGAAAAAAATCACTTCTTCATCCTCTGGCTGGTCCAGTGTAAGGCACACAAATCCACATGCTATGCATGGAATCCAGAACCCCATGCTATCCATACAGGCATTACAGAATATAGTAACCATCACCTCTGATAGAGGATCTCAGTCGATTGTGTCAAAGCAATAAACACCAGTTGATCTTTCAATGTGATCTGCCAGCCACCTGAGATCATCCTTGACACCCACACTGAGAGCTATTCCAGCAAACAGATTGGTCTTTCCCTCCATCTTAGCATACATGTTGCAGAGTCCCAGTTTCAAGAGAGGGAAGACATTGAAGGACCAGTTTGACCACCCAGTTATTTGCTGAAACTTCTGCAGGTTTCAACGTGCTGAAGATATGAAGTGCCAGATCACCAGTACAAGCTCAGCTTTAGATTCCTTGGGCATAGTGGCTGTCATGGCATTTGGATTGACATCAAATCCAATGAATCCAATGACTATGAGCTACAAGCTGAACAATTGTTTTGGTTTGCTGTGTGGTACACCCAATTGATCCCAAAGTTTCAAGCGGGTCTGTTTGATAGGATAGAACATATCATAGGGTTCATAGTATTCAAGGTGACTCCATTTGTTGAAACCAAAGTCATCATCCATGTAGCATCCCAGATCTTTGATTTTCTTGACATTGATGGCCATCCAGGTAATGAGTTCATTGACGCTGTATCAGACACGATATGATCCCCATCTCCCAAAATTGTTGTTGCAGTCCACAGTCCTCACAAGGGTCTCAATCTGGCCAGCAGCTTTCTGCTCACTGGTGAAATATCCTATCATAACAACCTGCTTCAGCTGCCAGAGGGGGTGCATTGAACATAGCTGGTAGGCTTTCAAGATATCTGACTTGAAGACAACCAGAACCTTCTTTGCATTGGCTGGAGACTGTCACCTAAATCACAGTATTGATGAGAAGAGCATGTGAAGACCATCCAAGCATGAGCCTGTAATATCAGCATGGTTAATCATTTGATTGGGTGCATAGGTGCCTGCAGACATGTTAGATACCATGCATAGATCATTGGAACATGGCTTGGGTACAGCATGAACAGGTGTACTGTATATGCCGGGGAGCAGCTTTGGACCGAACAGCAGTGAGAATTGTCCTGCAGCTGTTTCCTCCTCTTGGTACCTGAGGATGAACTCCTGTTCTATCTCAGACCTAGAGGACATCTGTGCATTATTCCAAGTGAGCAGAAAGTCTTCAGAGGGGCTTGTGTCAGCCCAAGGCCAAAAATCCTCCTGCAGCATGGTGAGAACAGATTGAACAAAAGCTTGGTTAGGGTGAGTGCACAAGCAGGCCTCCAACTCAGCTATATTGATTGGTGTCATGATTTTGAACAGATGAGAATAATCTGTGACTGTTTTGACTGCTTCCTTGTTCTTGTATTCCTTTGCTGGAGGACGTGGGACTGGTAACTTGAACTCTGTGCAACCGGCAGTCTGGCTCATGCTGGAGTGACAGCTTGAGAAAACAAACCCTCTTTTGTACCTTGGGGCAAACTCTGAACCTTCTTCTTCTCAGATCTCTCCCTTCACTCCCCTCTCAAACCTCCCTCGACCATTCAATTGCTCACCCCTCCTTCTAGACCCATGCAGGGCAAGCGGAGATGATGTGTCCTCCCTTGCAACTTGAACACACATGTCTGTAGTGGCACTTGCCATCAGAGGAAGGGCAGACTCCTGCATTCCACCTTCAACAGGTGGCAACACTTTTTGCTTGCTCACTCACCTTCTATTTCAGCCTCGATTCTGAATGTCCCTCTTCAAATTCATGGTAGCCTGTCCTGATGGTAGAGATGTGGGACTACTCAAGAT